GTGTGTGTTGTGTGTGTGTGTGTGTGTGTGTGTGTATGTGTGTGTGTGTGTGTGTGTGTGTGTGTGTGTGTGTGTGTGTGTGTGGTGTGTGTGTGTGTGTGCATGTGCGTGAGTGCATGTGCGTGCGGCCGTGTGTGTGTGTGTGTGCATTGGCTACAAAAAGTAATGACAAATGCAGTCGATCTAGGCAGACCAGCTGAGTATGTATCCAGTTAGCTCTAGAACCATAGCCCCGCCTGCGGCGGAGCGAAGGGCTATAGTTCTAGAGCTAGTATCCAGTGTGTGTGTGTGTGTGTGTGTGTGTGTGTGTGTGTGCGTCGCTGTGCGTGCGTGCGTGCGTGCGTGCGTGGCGTGCGTGCGTGCGAACGTGCGTACGTGTATGTGAGGGAGGGAGTCACTACCAGCAGATTCAAGTGCGCCCACCCCAATCAACCACGCACACGTATATACAGTTGTATAACACTACGTTCCAGGTCCACTTCGTTTTCCAGGTCTTTGGTCTTAGGTCACACATACGTTTTATAAATTTCAGTGAAGATTAATTAAATCCTCTACTGAGCCTAATTAATGTAATTATTCGTATATTATTACGTATATGTACATCGACTAGGCATATTACAAACCAGCAATATTTACACAAGCACGTCTATACGTACACGCAAGCACGCACACACACAAACTCTCTCACACACACACGCGCGCGCACACACACCACACACGCGCAACACACACGCACGCGCGCGCGCGCCCACACACACACACACACACACGCACACACGCACACACACACACAACACACACACAACAACACCACACACACACACACACACACATACACACACACACGCGCCAGCACTGCACGCGCGCGCGCACCACACACACAACACACCACACACACACACACACACAACACACACACGCACACAACGGCACCACACAGCACACACAACACACCACACACACCACACACACACATACCACACACACGCGCGCGCACACGCACACGCACACACACACACACCACACACACACACACACACACAATCACACACAGCACACACACACACACACATACACACACACACACACACACACACACACACACAACACACACACACCACACACACCAGCGCACACAGACACAGCGCACACACACGCACACTCACACACACACCAGTGTTGTAGGTCTCGAGGCCGGTCTTGGCCTCGAGATCGGCCTCGAGACCGTTTCCTTGGTCTCGGTCTCGGTCTTGGCCTGGAGTGCAATGACTGCGGACTCGACTCGGACTCGAGCCCTCCGGACTCGAGGACTCGGTCGAGGCCGCCTCGAGGCCACTACATACATAGTACACAACTGTACATATTGTAACACGAACCGCAGTTTACAAGAATTTAAAACTAAAACTGTTAGGTTTTCTAGATACACGGCCTAATCTTGTAATCTTGTAATCCTTGTAACGTTTCAATGGCTCGATTAAGATTCTTGTCCTTTTGGTTTGAATCTGCTGTCACTTCGTCCCTTGGTTTTCCTACC